AGATCCCAGGTCTCCTGAGTCCTAGTTTAGTGTTATACAGAGGCAGAATGGCCTAGTAGATATGTGAGAGGCCTCTTCATTAGTTAAGTAGTAGCTTGCATGCTGGAATGTGATGTCATCAGTTGTTTCAAGGAATAATACAGGTATTTTTTTTTAGGAAGAAAATGCAAAGGATGAGTAATGTATGCAGACTTTCCGTTAGACTTTGCTGTCAAATTCAGAGTTGCCCCCTTGTGCTTCTGCAGTACTGCAAAATCACGAGTGACTTTGTATTGCTCAAAGTCATTATGTTCTGTAAAAGGTGCATCTCCTCTTACTTCATATATCTCACTTTGAAGGTGGTCCACAGGGAGTTTGTTTAGCTTTCGCAACAGGCAAAGATTATTAAAGGGAAAAATACAGAAAACAACCTCTCAGAACCAAAGGACAAAGAAAGAGATGGGGTAAAAAGAACCAAGAACAATAGCTTTCCCTCTTTCAGCAGTAGCAGAAACACAACCCATTCCCAAAGGAAGGCTGTTACTTCAGCAAATTCCCCCTTACTGTCCCACTATGTCCTAGTTCTAAAATGCAGAGCTAAAAATGTATGCCAAAACCTAACCACCAAGAAAAAGGAATGATGCTTCAAGGGGCTGAGTTTTGGAATGGCAAGGGTAGACTTCCCCTCTCCCACTGGCCGTGCCTTAGTTTTATATTTTAAAAAATATTAGAAATACTTGCCAGAAAAAAATGTCCATATTTGTTTTGCATATTCAGCAACTGTTTGCAGCTCCCTTTCCCCCCGAAGACTCAAACTCTGCATGAATAGGTCTTGTGTAATTTATTTCTCTGCCACTTTTCATCTTATACTTAGATTCCATTCTTCTTGGCTGTTTTTTTTCATTAATCATTCTACTGGTCTGTGTAGGTGGCTGAACCATGGTAAACAGTGATGCCCTTCACACTTTAATTGCTCCTTCAAACCTCTGTGAACATAGCTGAGATTGCTGCTTCACAGGAATTGTGATTCTTTATAGAGATATCCTTGATGCTTTAAGCAGGCACTTTAAATAGACTCAGCAGCTGTATACGCTGCAAACCGTATGTGGCTTGACTTTATACAGGGCTGGAATTATGTCGACGTTTGTTGAGATCTGCGTTAAATCGCATTATCTAAACAGGATCAGGTTGGGCCAGTCATTGGATTGTGTAAAAACAGCCAGTGGAGTAAGTGGATCCTGACCCTTGCCATGTGATGGAGTTAGTCTTTTGTAACCCTGACCCATGTCATGTGATTAGATCTAGAAAAATAAAGATGATTCGTGTCAGCACTTCTGTGTGTCACATTTTAGGAGCACTTCAGTACTATGAGCTATTCTTTCCTTTCAGTCAATCCTGAACAGATGCCATACTATAATGCTAGGTACTGTTGTGGTGCTGGAGGGTGCAGTCTTCTGTTCAAGATGTAAAATGGAAGCTCTGACCACATCAAATTGTGAAAGATACCATAGCATTTCTACCAAAAGTAGAGGTTTTAGTCTCAGTGTCTTGGCTAAATTTTAACTTAGAAGAGCTTATGATGCTCTGGAATAGGCTTCCAAGGGAGATTGTGGAATCCCCGTCACTGGAGCTTTTTGAGAACAGGTTACACAAACACCTGTCAGGATGGTCTAGGTTTACCTGGCCTGCCTCAGCACAGGGATCTGGGATCTGATGACTTCTTAGGGTTCTCTCCAGCCCTACATTTCTATGATTCTGTACCTACCTATAATAACCTGCAGGACTAGAACCTGGAACTGTGAGGGTTCTTGGGTCACCAATGCTTCTGCATCATCATCGGTAGCTCAGGGTGGGTTTCTACTGGAGGACCATGTGAAGCAAGGTATTGCAGGAAGTACAGCCCAGCTTGGCCTGAGTGGCGGCCCCCTACGTCCCACTGGTTGGCTTATTCTGGTATATAAACCAGGAAGCCATCATGGGGAGCTAACTGAGCAATGGCACAGACCGCCTGCTTGCTTCCGCTCCAGGCCTTGCCTTGCTGTGGACCCTAGACTCTGGCTTCTGACCCTGGTTTGTCCCCAACTCTGCTACGTGGCTGCTGTCTGTTACCTTTTACCTGATCTTAACTTTGTGGTATCCTGATCCAGTTCAACCCTGACTCCACTGCTTGACTTCCATCTGCAACTTGGTAACTGACCCGTGCACACAAGCTACCCATGGCACGGCCCTGACAGTATGTAAATTCACTATGGCTATGGTATTGTTCTTCATTTCTTATCCTAAACTGTTGGATTTATTACTGTTTGCTATGCTTCACTGTAGAAGTGGCTGCATTTCAATGGCAGGATGGTCTGTATACAAAGTTTGTAAAGTCCCTTCATAAACTTCAAAATGAAAGGCACCATATAAAGAATACAAACTCCAGTTCATTCTCTGTACCTTAATATTCAAAGTCTCTGATTTGATTAGCCATATTCCACTGGAACTTTGAAACAGTTGACCAATGGGGAAGGCTCATAAATGTAGAAGATGGTCGTTTCATGGGTGCTAGACCAAGTCTATGGAACCATCTCTGGCAAGTAATAAGAAAGACCACAGACCTCCCCACGTTCAGAACAAATTCAAAACACTTTTTTTCCAATATAGCTTCTCTTAGTAAAATTCTATACACATATGCACGTGTGTGCGTACACACACTTAAAAGCTTACAATAACCTAGTAAGTTATTTGTCCTACAGACTAGAAAGGAAGAAAGAGAGAGACTGACATTATGTTTTATCTATTTTTCAATATGTGGGAGGTGCTCAGATACTGCAGTGTTGGTGATAGGTGTCCTTCAGATACATAGATATGTAAAATATGCATGATACATTTCTTAGCTCACATTTTATTGTATTTAATTCACTGGTTTTCCAATTAAAAAGTAAACTAGGAACAGGTAAAATAATTATCTATCTTTACAATGTGATAGTCTGACTTGAAATGTGTAAATCTGCTATTCTGGTATTGAGTAACTATAAGGGCTCTGTGCCCTCTTCCTGTGCCCCCTCAGGTTTCATGTTTTCATTCAGTGATTTGACGGATAAGCACTGATGCTGTCATCAATCACTCTTATTTATGTAACTCATAATGAACTTCTGAATGTCTGTCTTTCCTCTTGAATCATCATTTGAGACTCTATTTATCAAACCTTAAAAACCAAAGTGCCCTCTTAAGATCTGTTTCTATGTCCTTATTGAGAACATTGTTTTACTTTTCATCCTCATTTTCCCACCTTTCTCTCAAAAGATCTCCCCCAGAAATTGAACAGATAGTGTATGAACAATACACCAACCAAACTTTAGAAATAGGATGTAACTACTATAACCAAAATATTGCCAGGAATAAATATAATATATCAATATTACAGCAAAGAAATATTTAAGAAAAAAATTACTTTGAATAAAACCCTGATTATAAAACACATTCAATTGTTAATCATTTAAATGTATTCCATTTCTGCAATGAATGAAAACATTTCCAAGTAAGCCTAAGAGATCAAAATATAGCTTATCTTTGGATTATCCAAATTCCTAGAGAAATATGACTAGGAAATCATGACTCCACAGATATATCAGACATTTGAAACATTTATTAACTCATCTTATTTGTTCAAAAGTAATATAGACCTTTTTTTTACTAGAACTAGAACAGTACTAGAACTTTTTTTACCTAAATTATTGGTTGTACAGAACAAAAACTGAATATCAGAAATAGCAAAAGGAGCGTACTATTCAGAGATTTGACGTTCAAAACTGGTACAAGACAGGGATAGAGTATTCATCTGTATCTGACTTGTGTATGGAACATAGCCCTGTGATATGTCAAGGGAACATTAAGGTTGAATGGTCATGCATCAAAAAGTTAGGAAACACCAAAGCTGAGGTTCATATATAGCATGGTATTGCTTTGCATACCCTTTGCACAGGTGTAAATGACTACACAAGGGGTGATCCATGGGGAATGAGACCGAAAATTTTGATTGATTGGCAGTCACAGAAGAGGTGGGACCACATTTACCCCAAGCAGGTGGAAACTCTTCTCACAGCTGCATCTGGAAAGTGGAAGGGGTGGAATAAAATCTATATTCTGGTGCCCTTATGATCTTTAATCCACCAAAAATGGTTGTATGCTCCTTTTAACTTAAGTGCATAAAAGTGCCCTCTTTATTTTAAGAATTTAATACTTTTTGCTGAACTTTTGAAGACTAAACCATTTTCTTTCCTAAAATTGACAGCTTGCCTCTGGTGTCAGACTTTAACCGTAACACCAAGAAAAAAAAACACAACAAAAATGAATTGTTCACATGAAGGGCTTAAGTGTGACATGCTCCTCAAAAGGACGGTTTCGTTTTAGTATGGTGCAGGCCTTGCTGGAATACTGAGCTCTGCACAATGGGTTATTTTCCCCAACACAGTCAGATGCAGCTGCCTTGATTAGTTTACTTTCAGTGTAGTTCAAGGATCTGTGCCTAGACAGGATTCCTGAATGAAAAAATACATTTCCATCCTTCATGGAAATGCCTTGGATGAAATCCTGGTCCCATTGAACTCAATGAGAATTTTACTGTTGACTTCAATGGAGTCAGGATTTCATCCATCATGTGAACTTCAAGGGAAAACAGTGTCCCTCTAATACAGAAATATTATTACAATTTTCATTTAACAGACAGGCAGTGCAGAGCTTTGGTGAATAATTTGTGTATGAATTGTTTGTTGTTAAAATTAAACTTGCTCCTGCCAGCATCAATTTCACTGTCTGTGATGCTAATTATTTTGTGATTATTGAGTGCAACCATGAAGAGAGGGGTTTAATTGGAAAAAAAAATTGGTCTACGCACTTCTAGTTTTTCTTAATGCTAAAAAGTATTTTAATAGTCTATGTTGGTAAAATATTTAAATGTACTTTGGTTCAATCAGACGATCTTTATTATTTTCTAACTTGCTGTTATTGAGAATTGAATGTTTGTGTATGATTTACAGGCTTCTGAATAACAACCAAATCAAGAAGATTTCAAGAAATGCTTTTGAAGGGCTTGAAAATCTGCAATACCTGTAAGTCGCAACAGAAATTAATATTCTCAGTGATAAAGAGTGATTGTTAACCCTCTGTGTTTTTTACTATAAATGGTGTATGCTCTTGTTAGGAAACATTGGCAGTCCTGGCTACAAAACTAGCTGATGATCTGCAAGCTGTCATACTTTGTGTGTGTGTGTGTGTGTGTGTGTGTGTGTACATGTACACACTGAATATTGTACAGCGCAACATAGCATACCAACAATGCTGAATGGTACCATTCTGATTTTGTAGCATTTGCACAGATGCAAATGACTGCACAGGGTGCAAGGATGTGTAGGATCAGGCCCTCAGTTCACCAGGGCAGGGTTGTCTTTTTTTTTTTTTTTTTTTTTTTTTTTTTAACTGCTTCTTTCATTAGTTTCCATTGAAAGTATAATTTGCATGTGTGACCGCACCTGGTGATTTTGGTTATTTGAAGAATCTGAGTCTCATTTGTTCTACTTTTTCTATGCATGTCCCATGTGTAAATAAGGTTTGACAAAATTGTGATATTCAATATTGTTTCTTTGTCTATGAAAAATGTGCCTTCGATTAGGTACCTTTTGGATTCACAATAATATGAACTGTTTTCACGATACCTTAAGGTTAAAATTAAACTTGCTCCTGCCAGCATCCATTACACTGTCTGTGATGCTTATTATTTTGTTGTTATTGAGTGCAACCATGAGGTGACAAATGAGAACAGCCTTAAGGTATAGTGAAAATAATTTTCAGATGAAAGTTCCTGAAACTCTCAGTATGATTGTGAATCCAAATAACATAATAAATGTTAAAAGATTCATGTTGCATATACTGTGGTCCTTTCATCAACTCAGTGTAAAGAAAAATATCCCTTTAACTATTCAAATAAAGAGATAAGTAAATGCCACCTTATCTCAAACTTTCCAAATTCTCATTCTAAGTTCATTTTCAGACTTCTGGAAATTCATGTTTCAGTTCAAGGCTTTAGATCCATTTCTCTCATGAGGGTTTTGAATTTGCACAAGTATCACAACTGATTTTATTCCAAATCCTACAATTTAAAGTAAAGCTTTTGTAATTTCCTTGTAACTCCAACATATAAGTGAATCTTTTATACATACATTTCATTAATTAATAAATAACATTTTTTTTAACCATTTGATAAACACAGGATCTATGTATTCTATTATTCTGTGTTTAAAAGAATGTAATTTCTGGAACTTCCTCCATTTTGTAATGGCACCCAGGGGATATTATGGTGTAGAGGATCCTAGGAGCACAGTTCCCTGAAATTTCCCATCCAATCTCCAATGTGCCGCCTGTGCTAGTGGGCAGTGGAGGGAGCTGTCTTAGATTTGCTGTGCCAGTTTTATGCCATCTAAGGATTCCACTACCTCCAAGGAATCTTTAGCTGAAACATCATCCTGGGCTTGCAAATATGTGATTATATGTAACGGTGGCATAATTAAAGGGAAGTTCTGAGAAACAAAAGGGCAAAGTCAGAACTTAATAGCAGAAATGAGCCACTATCCAATGAATTTCCCAATGATGGACGTGGAGGGAGAAGAAAAGCTGGTTTTGAATGAAGTTTAATCATTACGTACTCATTAACCCCAGTCCACCACTGCTGTGGAAAAGTGAAGGACTTGCCAATCCTTCTCTACAAGCGTAAACATACGTTATTCCATCATAGTTTTGCTGTAATTGAATTTAGTATATTTGGGCCATTCTGTTTGTTCTTGATGGTGGCATACACAAGCCTATCTGATTTTTTTTTTAAATGTAGGTCAAGCCATATCTTTTGTCATAACATAACAAACATGGGGGGACATACGTATCTGCTCTTATGCAAATTTCTGAAGATGGACTAACCTAAGTTGAACAAGAATTGAGCATAGAAGCATCTGGTAGTTCCTCTAACTCACAATTTATTTCAAACTGTGGAGATCTGCAGTATGGCTCAGAAGACAGAATTGAGACCTATATTTCCTCTTTTCTTTTCTTGTCATGGCATCTGGCTAGACAGAAAGGTTATGGCTAATTTGTTTCTTCTTAATCCTCTAAGGGGGAAAAAAAAAAACTTTGTCCACCAAACAATCACAGCGTATAGGGTGACAATTCAAAAGGAAACATTAAGGCTGTCATCTTTTCCCTGCATAATCTCGTTCACCTGACGCACTTGGTCTCCACTGGGAAGGTTGGAAATTGGCTTCATTCATCCAAGTGGTAATCACTGCACTAAGCACATCACTTCACTTTTCAGACTAAGCCATCATATATTAAACTTTGCTTTTTACAAGTGTCATTAAACTTTTCACAACCACAGCTATCACTGAAAATGTCCATTCTGATTTTAATGTATTTCTCTTCAGTGTAATATGTCCTTTCCCATGTTACATTGTCTTTAATCTAAATCATTACAAAGCACAATATCTATATCAAGATCACGGTCTTCTGCAGAAAAGTTTGGGTGTGTCCCTATTTAATTGACACAGATTTGTCTGCTATAACTTATTCAGTGCTAAATTATTTTAGGAAGCTCTTTGGCCCTATTCGCTAAAATTTGTAACTGTTTTCATAAATATAGAGAGCCCCAAAAGCAAATTAAAGCTTTTACAGAGTGGAAGAATGCCATGTAATAACTCTCAAATTTGTATTATCAGTGTCCTAAACTGGTTGGTCTGATGTGTGACTTTCCTAGCTTTAGCTAAACAGTCCTAAACACATGGCAAATGTATTCCTCAACTAGGGAACAATAAAACTTTTTCTGAGACATGTAACACAGTAGGTTTTCTCCTCCCCCCCATTTTTCTTGTGTAAGTAGAAACCTTTAACCATGTTCATGATTAAAATAAAAATGGGAATCCAAGCCCAATCGATATGCCCTCCTCTGCCAACAAACTATTAAAATTACTAATTGAGGTAATTCCTGAAGACACGAGAGCTCCTGAGCATAAGAATCCCATACTTTTTCATTTGCCCCAGCAAATACTTTGGTGCTGATTTTTAGACCCACAATCACCCACACACATATTTTCCCACTATTTCTTTATTTGTATTATCCTGTGGATCAAAAGCTCCAATCAGGATCATGCCCTGTTGTGCTAGGTGCTGTACAAACAGATAGGGAAACACAGTGCCTGCTCCTAAGATCTAACTGTCTAATTTGAAGTGAGGTGCAATCTATGAGTGTGGCACAAGCTAGGAGAGAAATGGGAATAGGGATAAGGATAACATAAATAAGATCACATGGTTACCTTGGTTAGCTATTATACAACTTGATGATTACAAATCATTTGACTTAGGAAAATTAAATGCATTTTTAAAAAAATACTGTATATAAAACCATATATCCCTAGGTACCCTTCAGTGCAGTAGTCTAATATTTAGCTAATATTTAGTCTAATATTTAGTAAGCATCACAGCAGAAGTAGATCTTGGTACAGAGAAGCTATGCAACTTCCAGATTAGGTCAAGGAAGTCATTCTAAAGATAAAGGGCAGCATGGGAGTGTCATGCTGCCTGGAGTGGCTCACAACTGTAAGTGCCTTACTCAGGGCAGACACCCCAAACTGCTGGTACATTCTATAATTAGGTTTCACCAAACCAGTAACAAATGTGAACTCCTGGATCAATATACCAGTCTTACCATGAAGTCACATACAGTCCCCTTAGAATCTCTAGTCTATCTCGCCCCAGAGACCAGTCACTTACTCCAGATCAATTGGTACTCCAGTTCTACCAAAGACAACACTGGCAGCCAATTCTATAGTAAACTAACTAAAGATATACTAGCTAAGAAAAGTAAATGAGAGTTATTGAGAGGTTAAAGCAGGTAAAATATATATACAGGTGAGTCGGTTTGTAATTCCAAATGGTGGCAGTGATGAAATAAACTGCCAGTCTCCCAAGGTTTCAAGATTCGCAGATTATCTCTGGGGACTTTCGCTTTGCATCTGGTGCACTTTCCTGTAAGAGTCCAAACAGTCCAGAGATGGAGGATCTTTCCTTGGATCCCTTCTTTTAGCTCCTTCTCACAGAAAACAAGCTGACAGTGATACTACCCAGGTGGGCTTTTCCTTTGATGAAGGTGAGTGAGGGATGCATTTTGAGTGTCTGACCTCCGGTCATCACACACAATGGCCATTTGCTTTGAAATTAGCATCTTTTTTCTGTTAAAGTCCTTCATTAGCATTGCACAAGGCTTCTTTGATGGGTCATTAATTACAGGGGTACACACACACACACACACACACAAATGTTTGCTGCTGCATCATAACAGGATACAGACAAGAGAAAACAATGCAAATACTGTCCCATTAGTTTTATGAAGTCTAAACACCAAATATACTTGTCTACTTTCACCAATCACTTTGATCTATACTAATACACAAGTGAATGGCCTGAATGCACTCTGGCATGACCTGGTCTGCTGGCGTCACAGGGAGAAAATATGGAGAAGTTTGTGCGGGCAGCAGAGAAGTGGACATTTCCATTTCACCAATAATAGCCTTGAATTACCTGAAAGAGACAAGACCAGATAATGAGGGAGGGGCAAAGTTGTGAAGGGCTTTCAAAGTTAAGGATGGGGAGCTAGGATATGCAGAGAAAAACAAGGAACCAGGAGAAGAATTCAAAGATTGTGGGGGGGAACATGGTCAAAGAAATGGGTCAGGAAGAGGATCTTACCATGTGTATTTTAAATTCACAATTCATTCATCTACAAATTATGGACTTTTAATGAACAGTCACTGTAATGTGATTTCCTGGTGGGAGGGGGATATTAGTCATTTTCTGTTCTGAGTATAAAGAATGTATTTCATGGATGTCAAATTCGTATAAATAAAAAAGGAAGGAGGGAAACTTGTTAATATTTCACTATGATGCCTCACAAAATCCAGGATGAAGCATGTGAAAGCTGGGGATAAACATGGTTGAGAGGATCCAGCTATGGAACAAATTTCCAGAGGAGATCAGGGAAATGCAGGAAACACTGCACAAAACCTTCCTTTTT